CATGTGGATTAATCCTATTTCTATAACCAAATTTTTTTTAAAAAAAAAATCAGCTCTGTCTTTGCCAAGTATATCTTATTATTTAATTTTCCATTTAAGAAGGCATTTTGGGTACTTGGAGCTTATTGGATTTTTTGGGTGTGGCCCACCTTGTTTAAGACTTCAAGCATTTACATAAAAAACAAATCAACTAACAGTTTATTAGAACTATAAATAATGTTAAGAACGCTTAACCCTCAGGTGCCACTCAGTAACTTCATCTTACATTAAATGATTCATGATTTTATTTAGTTGTGTTAAGAAGCCTAGATTTCAGTAAGATAGGAAGAGTAAAATGCTCACAGTATAAAATACCGTCCAAGCATCTCAAAAGTAGATGGCTTATCTGCATGACAACTGAAAAGGTCATCTTGGTATAAACGCACTTTGGAAATGCCAGATGTGTACCAGCAGTCATAAGACTCATTGACCTAACAAAAGAGGAAGAGAAGATAAAAGGATAAACCAATGCCAAAGACCTGGACTAGATATAACTGCTAGGTATTATATATTTCATAAACAGAAAAAACATTTTAAACAAAGTCCAGCCCAAAAAACACAAACTGGTTGAGAGTTGAGACCACTAGTGGTAAACCTCACCTTGAATTTATTTTGGGTCAACAACGCAGCACCAAAATTAGGCCTGCAATAAAGGGGAAGAGCCTCATTTGGAGCCTCTGATAATGCAACATGTGTCCGACTGGAAAAGTGATCTTTATATTCCACCTGAAAGGTTAAGTAAAAGAACTTACTGTCTGCTTTGTGTTTATCACTAATTTACAATTATTAGAGGACAGAACAGAGAAAGGCTGCGTATAAGTACACACACATGTACTATTTTCAAAAGTTTTCCATTGAAAGTAGCATGGATTAGTTATGGAGATACATAACTTGGACAGTAAGAGAGAAAATCTATGCTTCTGCATCAACAGGGACAACAATACAAGGCACAAAACATGCAGAAAGAATACTAATGATGCAAACAAGTAATGGGCAAGATATAATAACCTTGAAAACTGAAGCCCAGTAGTAATCATAACGACAGTGAAATTTGTTTCTTTCAAAAGGATGGAACAAATTCTCAGCTTTATAATTAAACAATCCAAGTTCACATATCTTAGATGAACCTAATATCAATACCTGCAAAACAATAATAAGAAAAAAAGCAATTTAGTTAGCAAGTAGAAAAGTGAATTATGCAATAACAGCTCGGAAAATGCTTAAAGCTTCAAAGTAAAGGAATATTATTTATAAACAAAGATCAGAATGGAAAATTCAAAATCAAACCAATCATTGCATAACACAAAGAAGGAGACAATAAGAAAAACATACTGCAAATCCATGTCATCATGTTGTGCAGCCTTATTTAAAATAAATTAACGGCATTTGTAACAAATTATTACATGTCAGATACAACACGAGTGATGAGCTCATTTACGAGCCATGAAAAAAACAACCACAGCTCTGTTCCGATCACGCTGTGAAGGATTGTGCCCTGGGCATGGGATTATAGAAGTTTTTAAGGCTCAATGTTATGTCCCATGGGAAATGATATAAACAATCAATCTCCGAAAATACGACTAACGATATCTATTAGCTCAAACCTAGTTGTCTATGTTCCTACTGCAGTATCAATGGATCATCGTTTCGCAATCTTGCATTTTAAAATTAGGCATGATATTAGGAGCCCCTTAATCTTGACACTTTTACCTCAAATTACCCACACACACACACACACAAAAGAAGCCTTTGCGATCAAACTTCAAACGCTGCAGTGGAGAACCGCAAAATTTGGCTTTTCAATCATAAGCACCTTCTCCATTCCGACCACGGAAATTTTGATGATCCCCATTTCTTCCATTGTTTTTCTGTGGAGTTTCTTTCTAGGTAGGTTATGCTAAAATGATGTTTTGCGCGCGACAGGTCTATTTGTCATACTGATGCAAGAGGTCTTCCAAGTGAAAATAAGAAATTCAAGCAGAGGTCGCTGAACTGCTTCCTGAGATAGGTTCTGGAATTTTAATATTTGGAAATGTCATTGTCAAGTCAAACGCCGCAGTTGCTGTGATTTCACGCTTATAAGCTGTGAAACCACTTTCGGATCAAATGTAGCTTAAACAAAAATATTTAACAGCTTAACAAGGAAGAGAACTTACTGCTAGATACGATCTTGCACCGGAAAGGCAGAGAAATAGGGTTCGTGATCGAGAGATTCGAGCCTAAGATCAGTATAATCCCAACCATAAAGGAAAGCGTCAAGAAGAGAACAATGGGAAGTAGGATTGCAAGAGTCCATCGTAGGATGACAAATGGGATAACCTTCTTCCCCGATTCCACCTGGGAGTGATCCATAAATCTCGGAGTGATTAGGACCTTTTTGTAATCTGATAAATCTAAGAGGATCTCCATCACTCACAATCGCCGGTCACCGGAACCATTTCTCCGGTGATCGGAGTTACAATAGAAGATCGTTTGGTTTCTGATGGTCGGTGGTCACTGACATAGATAATAGAGAGGACAGTTTTGACAGGCGGAAGAAAATAGAATTCGGCTCGCCTGAGGGCTGAGTAGCAGTAGCTATTTATTTTTGGCGTCAAGCGGCGAAACGAAATGCATTTCGGATTCGGACTTTGGATTTGGAGCGTAAGAATCCCTTAAAAAAGAGATTTTTCTGAGCGATGACACGGTAACTCAGACTCTCCCTCCCTCTCTCTGGTAGTCTTACAATTGTGATTTTGAAAAATAAATTTACCGTTTTGAAAATTTTAATTCAGGCGATCTAAACTAAATTTGAATTTTGATAGGCTCTGGTCTTATGATTCATGAGTCAACCCAAGGTCTTTGACTCGACCCTATACAGTGGAACTCAACTCTACCCGCCAAATCATTCACAGTCACCGGGTGTTTCCCCTCCCTTTTTAACTTTTCCCCACCTCCCTCTCCCGCTAATAGTTTGAAAAGTTGGATTCTCGTTACCGGTAACGGCACGTGTGGCCTTTAGGCCCAAATTTTTTTATTTTTGTAAACAGGCCCATGAAGTAATGATTCATCATTTCAGTTGATTTAGGCCCAGAAAGGTTACCCTTAAAGCCTTTTTTAAGGATAAGTTAAAAATATTTTTGACCTCCGATGAATTTTATTACGTGTAATGTGTAAAGACTCTGCCTCTCTTTAAAAACTACATGCAAGAGACACCAAATTCAGAAGATGCCCATGCATGACCCAAAAACTTTTTTTTTTTTTTTTTCTTGGATGGTTTGCGGTATTCTGCTCGTTTCTACTAAACTCAATTTTGTTGGTATTAAAAAATATTTATAAAATTACTTGCATAGCATGTAAGATTTTTTTTTTTTTTCACTCAGTGAATTCACACTCTCGGTGAGGATCGTATTTAAACAAGATTTAGGGAGATGCTAAGTATTGTACAGGTTTATTACCTATAAATACTTTTATTTTTGTCTCTAAATGCAGTAAATATTATACTCACATGTTGTCTATACACGCGAGCTTGTTGGCTCTTCCGCTGCACTTCTTGTTGGCTCTTCCACTGTACTTTTGGTCTTATAATTATTTAAAATAAAATAAAAATAAAACATAAATTGTGACGCGAGATAAGTGATGCATGGAATTGAAAACTTATATAGTTAATTACTATTTTGCCAATAAAAAATTACTCGGAGGTACGGTTAAATGAAAAAATTACATCCACTTCACCACACATTAATTAAATAGCAGTCAGTATTTTATTATATAATAATTGACCAAAATAATATTTTATTGTACGATACAATGTTCGCCATTTTATAGAAATACAACACCGAACTCTCAGAGCTAGTGTGTTCTCTGTAAATAAATATTATATGAATTTGACATTGTTTATTTTCCTGTGCTGGTACATAATTTTTATACAATGATTTGATTTTAACTTCTCAAATTAAAAATGCATCAATTTCATTATAATTAATTTAGATGTGATTAGCTTAGTGAACCTTGAATCGGTTATTTAAGCGACGTGTATGGTTATATAACACATTGAAAATAATATTTTAAAAAATAACAATTTTAAATAATAGGATCAGAAATTCACAAGTTAAGAGTAGATTTATTACATTTAAATGGAATAAATTCTACAATGCATTGAACTATTTCTAATTTCGGTGCCATTCATTCTTCGTTCAGTGAAACCGATCCTTCAAGTACATGTATCTTATATCTGGTCAAAAAAAGGTACATGTATCTTATATAAATATATATACATGTTTGTTTATAAATGTAAATAAATGCGTACGTTATTTTTTATTGAGTGAACTAATTACCATACATCTCACTTTTTTAGCACTCACCAATACATATACATGAATCAATTGTACTAGTTCTGGTCTTTAATATAAGAGTTAGTTGACAAATTTAAGTAGATTAAGAAAACTAGTTAAATTAGTTATTTATAATAAATAAATGTTGTTCTTCCTAAAATATCCTTACCAATCAAGTGTATTGGTTAGAACTACTATTATTATAAAGATTATTTTGAAGAAAAAAAAGATAAATATGAAAGATTAAGTGGATTGAGGTCTTATATTTAGGATTTAGTAACATTTTGTTTTTGGACCATGTAATATTTTATTGAATGAATATAAATTCCACTATTGAAATTTGTTTGAATCAACAAAGGGTCCCATAGAGTTTATAGTATAATTTTTTTTAAGAGAATGACGCCATACAAATGTCAAGTAAATTAGTTAACAAGATTAATATTATAATCGTAACCAAACAAAAATTTAGATTAGATATAATAAAATACTTGAAAAATCAGCATTTGATCTCAAACGGTCCTTAAAAGTCATGTCTTTGTGGAAATACACTTATTTTCTTCAGACACTGTAATTTAATTAAGTTTTTATTTCATCTTTCTCCTTCCAATAAGCCAGTCCTGGTTCGCGCGTGTTCGTTGTCTGTGGCAGGCACACGTCCTCCCTTATTTCAACTTTGCTCGCCGGCCGAGAAGAACGGCTCCGGTACCCTTTTTTTAACCAAATGCCTTCACTTTTTTATTTTCTGTGGCTTTCTTGTTTTAATTCTGCTGATTTTTGTGGTAGATTAGCACAATGAAATGAATAGAGTGTTAGGGGCCGACATTGATCTAACTTCCAGATTTAAATGGCCTTTTTTCTTTTTCCTTTGTTGAGTTTGCTCTGTGTGTGTGTGTGTGTGTGTGTGTAAAGATTGATGTTTTCTGTTCGTTGATTGCAACTCGGGGAACTACTCATTATCTCGTGGGATCACCTTTTCATATGCATTTTTTTTTCCCGGAAAAGCATTTTTATTGTCACGTATCAATGGCTGAGAAATCTGCTGTGTCAATTGCTGGCTTCTCGTTGACATGTACGATTTATAATCCATAGGAAATACTACTAAACGAGGTAGAAAGTAGAAATTACCTATTACATTAAGGGAATACAAAGGATAAGAGTAAATGCTTGAGACTGACAATTTTTCGAAGTTTAAAACTGCGACTCCAAAAGTTTAAAATTCTATTTTGCTACATCATCCTGTTCAAGTTCATGATTGCGAGCAGGGAAAACTGTTTTATCACTCATGTTAACTGGAAGTTCCACAAACTCGCTGCAAAATTGTGACCCTTTGAAATTGTAGATTTTAACAACCTTCACTGCGATGTTGTTACCATATTGCTTTTCAATTCTGTTCCTTCTTAGTTGCTTGATTTTTCATGGAATACTGTTTTATGTAATTCTTATTTGGTACTGATAATATATTGTAGGTTTTACATGATGCCTGTATTCTGCTGTATTAAAGATTATAGATGCTTGACTTGTTTTCATTTTTTCCTTGTTTCTAAAAGCAATTGCTTTGACGAGAGGAGACAATGGACTTCTTATTTAAGGGAATGACTGAGGATAGATCTGAGGGCCACTTTGACGTGAAAGACATCCAAAGGTGCCCATTTTTGAGGAACATCAACAAACCTACAAATTTATCCTTTTCTGCAACAAGTATTTCCTTTCCTGTAAGCTACTCATCTTCATGCCATTTCCACGAATCTATAATAATACTTAAATTTCAGTTTGGGCCAATGGTTATAGCTAAGCTAAATGTTTATGTTCTCATGCTTAGGCGCGCAGAGCTAACGGTCCTATATTTGAAGATGGTCCCAATTTTGAGTTGGCATTTAAGCTCTTTCATGGAAAAGATGGAGTCGTTCCCCTTACTGAGAGATCTAACTTTCACAGTGACGGCAAAGAGCCTGATTCCCTGCCTCCCTTCAATCCTTTGGCAGCAAAAGCAGCTACCATAAGCCTTTCTGCGTTTGGTCCCAGTGGCCCTTTCAGTTTTGGAAATTTTTCTGACAAGTGGAAGAAGCAAAAGAAGACTGAATCATCAAACAAAAGGGAGACCTCATCTCATGTAAGTATTTGTTTTTCTATTGATCTGGTTATTTTACTACTAAGAAATATGTTCAGCGAATAGAAAAGTCCATTTTATCTTTGATACTTCAACTTGAGTGTTATGCCTTGACATACAAAAGAAAAATTGCAACTGCCTTCTTTGCATAAGCGCTAATCTTTGCAAGATATTTGCTAATCATTTATACTTACGCTCATTTCATTAGCAATCATTCATAGGGCCAGGTTTCAATTTGCTTATTGACATCCTTTACTTTGATTACTAATCAAGCATGAATTGATTGAATTAACTTTGGAGATGTGGCATAGACTTAAGTAGCTTTTACTTTCTCCTGCTGAGCTTTCTCCAGAAAGAAGATTTGTCAAAGCATGAGGCACTTGGAAATGAATGGATAGAAAAGGGAAATTGCCCAATTGCCAAGTCCTATAGAGCTGTAAGTAATGTCCTCCCCCTTGTTGCATCAGCTTTCCGGCCACCACCTGGCATGAAGCTTAAATGCCCTCCAGCAGTTGTTGCTGCTAGGGCGGCTCTTGCTCGCACAGCCTTTGTTAAAAGCTTGCGTCCTCAGCCGCTTCCTGCGAAAATGCTTGTTATTGCAGCACTAGGGATGGCAGTTAATGTCCCTTTGGGTGTATGGAAGGAGCACACGAAGAAGTTCTCGCTGTCATGGTTTGCCGCAGTGCATGCGGCTGTTCCCTTCATAGCCATGCTTCGGAAGTCAGTCCTGATGCCTAAATCAGCAATGGCATTGACAATTGGAGCTTGTATCCTCGGGCAGGTTATTGGCTCGAGAGCTGAGCGTATCCGGCTGAAGGCGGTAACAAAAGAAGAAAGAGTGAAAACTGAGACAACCATGAAGATGGCAAGCTCTAATCCCAGCCATCTTAGTGATACTATAGGTAATCTCTGTGCTGCAGAAGGAATGGCTCTCCGCTCACTCTCAGTGAAGGATGCCGGTCCCACTTCAGCTGCCGGTGTCTGTTGTTGAACTCCCTGTGACCTTCATATATGAGTAGAAAATCCAAAGAATCTTGAATAAAACCTGCGGTGGTGATGTAATAACAGATCATAAGGAACTTGCCCATGTATTATGAGAACGGCTTTACATCCTTGGGTCTTCATATATTTTAATACTGAATGAATTCTTGTGGAAGTTAGCTTACCTTGCCCTGATCTAGACAATGAGTGTTAGGCTTTGGGAAGCATAACTTGAAAAAGTTGCTTGCGCTTAAATTTCAGGCGACTATGTTAAAAGGTGAGCACTTAAAGCAGCCACTTGAAATGTCTTGATTCTAAATCAATAATTTAGATTCTCCATACCAAAATTTTTCATCTTTAAAAATAGCGTTTTACATTGAAAGTTCTTTGGTCGCTCTAGAGTTTAGATTATCAATAATAAATAAATTATTGCATGTATTAATTTAGGGAAGACCCCATAAAGTAAAGTATCTATAATAATAAGTGGAGGAAATAAACATTTTAAAAGGAAAAAAAATCTTTTTCGGTAAAACATGGTATCCTCCTATTGGATTGAAAGCAATTCCATTTGAGGAAAAGAAAAAGATTCGATGGACACTTGGGTGTGTGTGTGTGTATCTAAAAATCACCATCAGCATGAGAATATGATGCCACTAAGGAGAGGGCCTTTAGGTCCAGTGGCCTCTTTCAACATTAACCTTCGAAGTCCATTTTTCTTAAAACATGTTTCGGCAACAAAGTTGGTCCGTAAAGCAGAGGTCCAAAGAAGAGAAAGGCTTTATGCATTTGGACCATTCTGCTTGGAATTGTATTCATGCTTTCCCTTTTCTAAGGACCTTTGTCTTTCCCCAGTCTCCATCTTCACTCGTAATTTCTGCCGCATTTTCAGTGGAATTTCGCCCTCTTGTCAAGTTTCTTTCTGTCCTCAATTTTTCTCTGTTTCAATTTGTAACGTTTCCTTTCAATTTGGTAAAGAAAATTCGGCTTTGGCTTTCTTTCATTGTCGGTTTTTTTGCCCTTTATCTGGCTAATTAGATTTTTTTCGTGGAACATAAAGAATTAGATTTATTTATTTAAATAAAATATCTGCTAAAAAGTTCAAAATTAAAAATTCAAATTTAACTAATAATAATATAATCATATAATTAAAAAGAGGCAAGACATCATGCAACCCCTACTATTCATTATTTATTTATATGACATTTTTTATAAATAAATAATATAGATTTGTCTTTTGGAAGGCCCATATCCCTTCTATTTTTTCTCTCCGCAAGGAAGGAACCCAATTTAGTTCAGGTATCGTATGAACCACATGAACCAACTACCAACTCTCTCTCCAAAAATCATTAAACTCTTTTTATATACGAAACTTTATTTTGAGGATTCGGGATTAATTGTTGTAAATATAAAAAATATGCAAAAAATTATTTTTATTTAGACTAAATATAACGATCTGTGAAATTAAATATACTTGAATGTGAATCAACAAGGGATACTTAATAGGAAGATCAGATAGTTATATATTTATATAGGGAAAAAAACAGTAAATATAAAACATAATTCAGGTCCTGGCATTGAATAAATTGTACGTCGGCAAATGTAGGTAGACGTGGCTTTCACAATAATTCAAGTGCATGTATGATATATAAATCATGTTCATGTCCCCTTGCAAATGTTTACACTCAACCACTTCATTTATTGTGACGTTGGATAATATTATTAGCAGATATAGAGATTCAATAAGTTACGCCTTAGTATTTAAATTTGAAGGTGCTTCTATTTTCAAAATACTTAAATAATTTGTAAATTAAAAAAATTTAAATTGTAGATAATTATACTGTTTAGTCTTGATTTAAACATTTTAAATTTTTAATGCAAATTCTTAACTTGAGTGTGCAGAGTGTTCTCTCTGGCCCTTAAGGGAAACATTGCAAATAAAGACTCCCAAGATGTGAAATTGTAATTTGAGACTCTCAATTTGAAAAATAGCAGATAAACACCCAGTCTCATACTGTAAATATAAAATCTTGGTGAAATGTCTGAAATGCCCCTTAGTCAAATTGTGATTTAGTCTATTGAAGTTGTCATTCGCTAAAATAAACTTGTTATTTCCCATAATCAACTTGTCATTTGGCTTATCCTCAGCTAAGTTGTGATTTGATCTACTAAAGTTATCATTCAATAAAGTGAACTTGTTATTTTTTATAATCAACTTGCCATTTAGCTAAGGGGTATTTCATACATTTCACCAGGATTTAATATTTACATATGAGACCAGCTATTTATGTGCTATCTTTCAAATTGAGAGTTTCAAATCATAACTTCACATATTAAGAGGTTTTTATTTGTAATTTTTCCAAAAAAATATATACACAACGTTCTTGTAAAAGTTTGCGCTTTGTGGTACAGTCCCTTGACGAAGGGCACTTGTACGGTACTGGGAGGCTCCATTGCAAAATCTCACTCGCCTCAGAGCACCTCTTTTAATACTTATATTTTAATTATAAGATTTTATTTGTAATTTATAACAATATTTTATAATTAAGACTAGAGGTAGTATTTTCATATTATTGGATTTTTTGGAATACTGTCTATGCTTTTTTTTCTGGTTAAAATACACAGCAAAAAATAGATGCTGTCAAATAATACGCGTAAAAAAAATCCAATAAATAAAAATATTGTAATTGCTTAATCAAGTTATATTACATGCTTTTAAAGTTGAGAAAATCACAATTAAAGACCCTAGAATTCGAAAAACACAGATAGGAACTCATAACAACTTGATTATGGCTTTTGACAATAATAATATGTTATAAAATTGTCAAAACCCATAGTGAAGTTGTCACGGATCTCTATCTGTATCTTTCAAATTCTAGAATCTTTTTTTTTTGTAATTTTCTTTTTAAAATTTACTGATACAATATGTTGAAAATTTGTAATTGCTCTAAGTATAGTCTCAGAGGAAGCAGCATGATACGCGAAATGAGAGAGTATCGAATGGGAGCCCTTATTATTAGTACATGCCCTCACAATTTGTGCTTTCACTTTCCCTTTCACATACCCGATCATATGCACATGCCCCTTTAACTAATTTTAATGACATAAATTATACTCCTCCGGTCCTAATTATAAGATCCAATTGACTTATTTGAGGAGATTAAGGAAGTAAGTTAAGTTGGTTATTTATAATAAATAAGTGTTGTTATTCCTAAAATATCCTTGCTAATTAAGTATATTGGCTAAAACTATCATTATTAGAAGGATTATCTTGAAAAAAAATGCATAAATATAAGAGAGAAAATGGATTGGGTCTTATAATTAGGATCAAATAAAAAGTCAAATTGGGTCTTATAATAAGGATCGGAGGAGTATCACAATATTTGAGGACAAATACCTCTTCTTTTAATTCTAAAACAAGAAGTTTTATCTCACCAGATGAGCTTCCATTAAACTAATTTGAGTCAATTTTTTTTTTTAAACAAGAGTTTAAATTTTAGTTCACCGCGTTGTAAAAAGTCAATCCCTCCTACTAAACCCGCATTGGTAGCTAAGCTAGCTTTGGGTGGGTAGAAACTTTTCAGTTATAATAAAAAAAAATGTTGGGATTTTATTATACCTTGAAAAGTTGATGCCGGACAGTGTTACTGTTCACTTCCACATCACTCCCAGATTCCCAACCGAAGTTGTTGCTTCCATGTCTCTCTATCACGTCACGTGCTTGTCACGTTCTCATAATTCAAGTGGATCCCCTTGTTTTGGGGCCTCACTGGTCTCAGCACTAAGTTCCGCGGCGAAGGGGGGAAAAACTCACAGTACTAATCAGCTCCATCTTCTAAATTATCTCTTTTCCCCCCTTTTCTTTTGCTCTATATTATTTTCAGATTTTCGATTATTCAAATTTAACTCCCTTTTTACAAAATATATGTTTTGCGAGATGCTCAAATTTAATTAATTAGTTTTAATTTAATTTAAAATGTAAAGCGGGATAGAAGGTGTTTGGCTATTACTAAAAGCATTTTCTAAAAGTATTTTTTCACAATTCTAAATAAATTCCTTCATATATTTACTTTATATGTTTTAAAATCACTTTTAGAACTATAATTTTGTTTTCGTCCAAACTCTTCTTGTAACTTGGCTCCAAGGAAAAAAAAAACCGAACCGGACCGGACCGGCCGGTTCAACCGGAAAACCGGTGAACCGGTCGCAGTCCGGTCTGGTTTGATTGAAAAACCGGTGTAAAACCGAACCGGTGGAAAACCGGACCAACCGGTAAAAACCGGTGTTGAACCGGGTAATAACTGGTTGTGGTTCAACCGATTTTTTTTTTTGCTGCCCAGCGAAGACAAACGACGTCATCTGGTTTTGAAAGGAAAAAAAGAATTCTTTCTTCCTCACACTCAGCTCGCCGTCTCGTGCTCTCCTCTTCTGCAAATCGAAATCCCCTCTCCTCCTCCAAATCGCCGAGATTCCTTCCTCTTTCTCCCAGACTCCAGTCGTTCCCCCCACCAAAATCGAGCTGGGTCATATAATGGTGACGATCGGAGTGACGGGTGGGTAAGAAGAATCGAACTTGCGGAGTTTGCTGAGGCTGATGTCAGGTGTGGGGCCAGCAAGAGTTTCGTCCCAGAGCTTGTGCAGAAAAGTTTTCTTCCTGAACTGTATAAAATAAATGAAGCGGGACTAAACGAGAAAACCCATGATTCATTTCATATATTAGCTCGCTTATACTCATAGGTAATTAACAGTAGTTTTCGACCCACCAAGTTCTTTTTCCATATATTAGCTCGCTTATACTCACAGCAACGAGAAAACCCATGATTCATTTCTTGCTTCTTGGTAGAACAACTCAGAGGACTAAACGATCGTGACAAGACGATGGAGAGAAGCAGAGTTGTCAGGAATCTAGATGCCAAGTGCTGCCTCCTATATTGATTATAATTTTGATTATAATGTTGATTTGATTCTTTTAGATTAATTTTATAAAGAGGAGAAGGCTGCATTATTATTTATTTGTTTCACTTTAATGTTGTGAATTAAATTTTATTATTTTAATGTGACCGGTCCGACCCCGGTCTGACCTCAGTCAGACCAGTAACCCTTAACCCAGTATCTCGACCGGTTTAGTTTTCGGTCCGGTTTTTTGTTCCTTGCTTGGCTCTCTTTTTTTTCGCCATT